CTGCACACCAGCAGAAAGGGGGAGGCAATGTCTCGCTACCTCCCTGGAGCCTAGTTGAAAGGCTCCTAGCCATGGGATTTTTGAGAGGTGGCCTCTTCGTCAGTGCGATGCTGGGGAATCGAGGTGCTTCTCCGTCCCGGCGGTCCTCCTGCTGTGTGTCCGTACAGAACTAGTGACGCTGACCAGGACAAGCGCTGGAGATTGAGTGGTTTAAACGGAGCTACAGCAAGGTCGAAAGACTGACTATGAACTGTGAGTCAGATTAGAGCGTAATTGACAATTTAAAAAGAAAGCTCCCACCCCATGGACTAGAGAGTAAAGCAAGCGGGGGAGGGTCCCCTCCCATGCGCATGAATTAAAAAGCGGATCCGAGGGGAGAGCGGAAGCAAACACGCTGAAATCTGTTGGGAGAGACTTACCAGGGCGCGGGTGAGTGTATGAGCATATATTCAGAGACTTTAGAAAATTTTTGGAAAGTAAACAATCCATAAAGATGGCGGGGAAGAGGACTGAGAAAGAAAAAAATTCAAAAGCGAAAGTAGTTGGGAGCCCTCGTCCGGAAGAAACCACCGAGTTTGCTAAAACGTTGGCAGAATCCCTGTGCCCCCTGCTGGACCAGATGACTAATCTCAAGGAACAGCAGTCAACAATGAATCAAAGCATCACTACTCAGCAGCTTCAATTGAACAAGACTCTTAAAATCACGGAGCAAACAGCTGAGAAATTTAAAGAAGTTGACACCAGTACTCAAAAGGTGAAGAAAATGCTGCAAAAACTGGAAAAGAAACAAGTCTCTACAGAAGAATAACTTTTATTTTTTTTATTTATTTATTTTTATTTATTTAGGCATTTTTACCCCACCCTCCCCGCGAGCGGGCTCAGGGCGGCTTACAAGGGGCAAGAGCCCATGCATAAAACTTCTATGTTGGAAGAAAAAGATGGGATTTCTACCCCGCCCTTCACTACTGAAAGGAGTCTCAGAGCGGCTGACAATCTCCTTTCCCTTCCCCTCCCCACAGCAGACACGCTGTGAGGTAGGTGGGGCGGAGAGAGCTCTTTCGAGGACTGTCCCTGAGAGAACAGCTCTGAGAGAACTTGTGACCTACCCAAGGTCACACCAGCAGCTGCATGTGGAGGAGTGGGGGATTTCTTAGAACTATTTCAAATACTCTATTGGTGACACGCTAGTGTGTTAAATTTCTGGTGACTGGGAATTGCCAATATTAAGTTATGACGTGACTAGGCCTACAATGCATTTCCAGTGGCAAACATTGCCTTCGGTACTTCAGGACTGTGATATACCTACAACAACAGACAAACCTGATGAAGAGTACGGAAACGGAATGATTACTAGAATACCGTTGTTTGTCTTGAGTTTTTTCTCTTTCTTTTTCTCTTTGTAACAAGTGTATTACATCAGGACCTTGAGTCTAAGATAAGACTTTATTACCGGCTGTAAATTTTACCATAGGAGTTACATCACTCTGAATGTACTGTGTTGAACTTCATGGTTAATACTTAAGCTGTATTCTTGTTCACTACTTTAAAAATATTCTAAACATGTATACTTAGCATATATAAAAAAGATAAAAATTGTAAAATTATACACGGCGATTTGGTGTTTTACTTGGTATATTACTATTCAGCATTGGGGTTGCCACCTCTGGGTTGGGAAAGACCTGGAGATTTTGGGGGTGGAACCCGGGGAGGGACCTCAGTGAGTTACTGTGCCATAGAGTCTATCCTCCAAAGCAGCCTTTTTTTCTTTTTTTTACCAGGGAAGCAAATCTCTGTTTTTTGGAGATCAGTTGTCTTTCCGGGAGATCTCCAGGTCCACCTGGAGCTTATCAACCCTGTTCAGCATTCAAGTCACCCTAAGTATCTTTGGTATCCTTCAGAGCAAGACAAAGTTGGTGGGCGGTCATGGCCACAACACCAGGCCAAGCCGCTAGGGTTGCCAAATGTCTCTTACCTCCTCGGCGGGGGATCCCAGGCTATCTCCCGGTGCGCACGCGCCGCATCTACGTCACCCAGATGTGACGTCACACGCTGGGTTTTCCCCTCAAATGGCTGTGGCCCCGCCCCCAGCGTGCGACGTCACATCCGGGTGACGTGCATACGGGGGTGGGGTTTCCCCGGGCCCTGATTCCGCGGGGGTGGAAATCGGGGCTCGAAAGCGGGGGGAAATCCGCCCCCCGGGGGCATTTGGCAGCCCTACAAGCCGCACATGAAAATTCTACCCAAAAAGGGTGGCAAAATGGTCGCCTGGACCCCTCAGGCATCCGCTTTACCTCACATTACGATTACACCTCAGCACCCGGCTTGTGCCGCCACCTTTCTGAGGATGGGGCAAGAAAATACAGATGACCCAGCCAATCTGAGGGGACAGAGCATCTTTGTTATCTTTCAGAGCAAGGCAAAGTGTGTGGAGGATCGTGGCCGCAACACCAGGCCAAGCTGTACACGAAAATTCTACCACACATGAAAAATGTAGCAAAATGGCCACCTGGACCTCTCAGGCATTCCCTTTACCTCACATTTCGATTGTCCAGGGCTCTTTTTGTAGCAGGAGCTCCTTTGCATATTAGGCCACACACCCCTAGTGTAGCCAATCCTCCAAGAGCTTACAGAGCTCTTCTTACTGGGGCTACTGTAAACTCTTGGAGGATTGGCTACATCAGGGGTGTGTGGCCTAATATGCAAAGGAGCTCCATGCGGCATGTGGCACCACCTTTCTGAGGATGGGACAAGAAAAGACAGATGACTGAGGCAATCTGAGGGGGTCACAGTATCTCTTAGGGAGGTTTAGGTGTCTGTTTTGGGCTCTCTTTAACATCTTGACAAGCAGTAAAGGTAAATCCACCACAACACTGATAGGTTCAAACCCAGTAATACCTTAGAAACCACTGAGATTTTGGGGGTATAAGCATCCAAGAGTCAAAGCTCCTCGCTCTTGAAACCGTATACCCAGGGGTCTTTTCATAGAAAAAGAGCTGCAGGAGCTCATTAGCATACAGTATGCTAATGAGCTACTAGGCTATTAGCATAATAGCTCATTAGCATATGTAACGCCCCCTGACGTCACTGGAAGAGATGTCAGGAGGGGAAGCAAAGGGGGGGGGGAAAGCATCTTCAAAAGCCTCCCCTCCCCTTCCCTAGAGGGGGGGAAGCGAAGAGAGAAGGGGTTTAAACTTTAAACCCCTTCTCACTAGAGCTGGGCTGCAGAAGGAGGAAAGAGGGAAGGAAAGAGAGAGAGGGTAGAGAGAAGGAATGAAGGAAGGAAAGGGGATAGAAAGAGAAGTAAAGAGGAAAAGAAAGAGAAGGAAAGAAGAAGGGAAAGAAAGAAAGAGAAGGGAAGAAAGGAGGAAAAGAGGAAAAGGACAAAATAGGGTTGCCAAATAGGAAAAACTTACCGGCGGGGGAGCTTCCAATCGCTCCAGGAGCCGGCCGGGGATATGTGTGCGCGCGTGCTTCCGGAGCGTCACCCGGAAGTGACATCACACGCTGGGCGGGGCCACGCCATTTGAGGGGAAAACAAAGAGTTTTCCCCTCAAATGGTGTCGCCCCGCCCCCAGGGTGCGACGTCACTTCCGGGTGACGCACACATGGGGGTGGGGGTTCCCCCGGGCCCCGATTCCGCGGGAGGGAATTCCGCCCCCCCGGGGGGATTTGGGAACCCTAGGACAGAACAAAGTCGGGAAGGCGGCGACAGGCTGCCGTGTGGGGAGCTGGGGGTGGGGCTCGCTGCCGCCATTTTGCCAGCTCCTGGGCTCCCAGAGCAGCGCTCCGGCCCCCAAAGACCCCTGCTTATACCCCCCAAATCATGTTGGTCTCGAAGACGCTGCTGGGCCTGAATCCAGTAGTTCTACTGCAGACCAATATGGCTACCCTCTGAAATAGGGTTGCCTTCTTACTGCTGGCGGGGGGATTTGGGGGCAGTTCCGGGGGTGGGCAGGGATGTAGTTGACACACTGATGTCACTTCCGGAAGTGTGTCGGCGATGTTGGGCCGACACTCTACTTTTTAGGCAAAACTCTATGGTAGAAATGGTTCTAAACCATAGAGTTTTGCACAAAGAGTACAGCACTGCCCCTGACGCCTCCGACATAATGATGTTCCTTCCGGAAGTGACATCAATGCATCGGCCCTGTCACAGAGGAACGTTCATTTTGGGGCGGGTCTTCCCCCGCCAGCCAGCTGGCTGGTGGTGGGCCGGAGCCCGCAAAAATGGGATTCCCCGCCCTCATTGGGGAACTGACAAGACTACTCTGAAACATGACACAGTCATAGATGAGTGTGGGGGAAAACCATTATCATGTCACAGAGGAACGTTTCCTTGGGGGCGGGCTGGTGGTGGGCCGGAGCCCACAAAAATGAGATTCCCCGCCCTCATTGGGGAACTGGCAAGACTACTCTGAAACATGACACAGGCATAGATGAGTGTGGGGGAAAACCATTATCCCTATCTACCCGAGTACAAAGGTTAACAACAACTTTCACCCACTCAGTTCCCGCCTTCACAAGTGCCAAGCTTCTGCTCCCTTTCTCCATCCCTGCATTCTACGCCCCCTCCCCAAAATGCCTCTCCTTGCCTCCTCTCTGGATAACACCCTCTTTATTATTATTTTTAAAAAGCGGTCTAATACAGGAGCAGGTTTTTCCAGAACCTTCCTCATTCCCCTGAGCATTTGTGAGCACGCCCCGCAGCAATCTTCCGACTCCCGATTACGACATCTGGGCTAGATTCACCGAGGCCGGGAGGCCACTTTCTCGGGGTCCCGCCTTGAGCAATGAAACGCTGTTCCAAGACAGGGAGCAAAGAATAGCAAGGGGAAAAGGCAAGGGAAACAAAAGGGAAAAAATGATAAAAAGACCGGACCCTCCCATTCACTTCCTCCCGCATCCAAGCAAGCTGTTGAGGCTTTAAAAACACACACACACACAAAACTGCATTCTGAACAAGGTCCCCGTGTCAGGTTCACTCTACTCGGCCGAGTCGGCTACGCCGGCGTGGTCACAAAGACCATCTTGGAGGAGTAGACGAGATCCACAATGTAGGCGATGAGGTTGAAGATGGTCAGGAAAGTCACGCCGAGACGATAGCTCCACATGCAGGGTCCATCATTGCAGTCCGCGGTTCTCGACTGGTTCCTGAAACTATAGATGGGCCACACAAAGGTGGCCGTGGCATACATTAGCACCGCCAAGAGGTTGAAGCCCACCAAGAACTTCTCCAAGGGGAAGGGAAGGGAGGCGAGGCAACGTCCCACGGTGAGGATGACGATGAGCAGCGTGACGATGAAGCAGATGCTGTAGACGGCCACGCACCACTGGAGTCCTGGAAAGGCCCAATATCGCGCAATGACGATCATGGAGAAGATGAGGCAAGCCACGTAGGCCTCGAACACCTTCAGGAGGCCGGGAACGGTGGCCAGGAAGCCACTGACCTCGCCGGGTTTGGCTCGGGTGATCCCCACTTCGGCGGCGTAAGCGAGGAAGCAGAGGATGGACATGGCCGTGGCCGCCCCTTTGTAGCCGCACGGTGTGCCCGAGCAGCCGTGAGCGAGGAAGACCGACGGGTAGACCACGGAGGTGGTGAAGATCATGAGGGCGGCCAGCATGGAGAAGGCGGAGGTGAAGTCCTGCCAGGAGATCGGCAGCGACTGGGCCACGCCGACGAGCTCCGCCAAGATGATGAGGACGGTGACGGCGAAGCAGAAACACCAGGTGAACATGCACCAGTTGCCGCTGGGGCCGTGGTAGCTGTGGTAGACGGAGACCAGGCTGAAGGCCGTGCAGGCAAAGAAGATCTCAAAGAAGCGGACGATGCCCAGCAGGGAGATCAGGGAGCGGGGGCTCAGCTCGAAAACTGGCATGATGCCCTGGGCACTGCGGCGTCGAACTCCTTGGAACCGGGCGAGAGGGAGATCTAGCCGGTCACGGGACAAGGAGCCGTAGTGAGGCTGCCGGGAGTCATGACTGTGTGTGGAGTGCAGAACTCAGGTGCTGCCCTGTGGAATAGGAACACCCAGACAGAGGGGGTATGATTGGCCTTCCTTTGATACCGGGAGGTGTGTCCTGGGTTTGGCACTCAGACACACCCCGGGCTATGGACGAGCCATAAAAGCAGAGTCTCGGCCTTTCCAAGGTAGCGAGCAAGCCGGCGACACGCCCTGTGGGTTGCAACCACCACCACATTCCTACTCCACCGTCGCTCGCTCTGGCCACTCAGTTTTCTAAACTCAGTTCGGGGCAGGCACCGAGTTCCTGGGAACCCTTGGTGTCAGAAACGTCGGGGTCACAGCGAGAGAACACACGGGTCAGAGGACCGACCCCCGGGGAGCACATGTGTGCTGCACACCCGTGCATTCCCAGATCCTGAATTTTTTATGTGTCTCTTGTTTCAGTGCAGGAAACCTGGCCGGGAAACCGAGAGGCAGGTTGATGATTAGCCAGGCTTAAGGAGTAACCATGTCCCCGCCCGGGGAAGCCCCATCTGAGGATTGTGCGGACGTGTGGCTGCATGGAAACAGGCAATTTGGAACCGCTGGAGTGAAACCAGGAACACGCCAGAGGCGGAACTGGGTGGGGGGAGGAGATGGGTTGGTGCCGTGGTCAGGTTGCCAACCACCAGGTGAGGCCTGGAGATCTCCTGCTATGGCAATCGATCGCCAAACGACCGAGATCAGTTCCCCCGGAGACAATCGCTGCTTTGGAGGGTGGACTTGTGTGGCATCTCCCAGCCCACAATTGACAACCTAACGTCACGGGCAGAGACATCCCCAACGCCTTTCTTCCATCTTCATTTTCATTTTAAAACAAGGACAGTACGTTTCTAGTCCCTGTGATGTAAGAAACACTCTGAGCTGTGGAGTCTTGTGAGCAAAGATTCTACTGTGTGAGCTGCTGGCATTAAAGCTGTGAGCGAGCGATCGGGCTGCTGCATAAATTAGTTTGCTCTGGAGCCCATCCTTCCTGAGCTAAGACAAAAATGCGTGAGCCGGAGGCTAAAGAACTGTGAGCTGGCTCACACTAACCCAGCTTAGAGGGAACGCTGCACAAGTATTCTACCCAGCAGCTCAGACGGAAGTTGGATCCTGCCTTCCAGTGGATCTGCCCAATAGGTACTGTCGCCAACTCCAGTCTGGGAAATTCCAGGCTACCTGATACAACTTGAGAGATATGCTTTCTTAGGTTATTACAAGAAGAGAGACCCGTGATACTCACGGGGGTGGGGAGTATCCCCCCCAGCTCCCGGCCTGCAGAAGACCACAGGTGAGCTTCCCCCATGGCTCCAACAGCAAGGTCAGAGCGGCTTCCAGCCGCCGGGCCCGCCAATCTCCTTCCGGTGGCGAAGCCCGAGTAGCTTCCAGCTGCTGAGCCTGCCGATCTTCTCCCCCCGGCTCCGGCAGCGAGGCCCAAGTAGCTCCCAGTTACCAGGCCCGCCGAGCCTCCCTCCAACAGCCAGAGTGTTCTCTGCGCATGCGCAGGGAATGCTCTTTTACTTTTGGGGGGATTTAAGTATCCCCCGTATATTTTTTCAACTTTTTAGATTTTTCTGCACAGCTGGGGACTGCGCCAAGTGTGCAGGAAAATCTCTCTGCCCCCCAAGTGCCCCCAATGTGAGGATTTAGATATCCGCATGGAGGGGGCATTTTGGGAATTAGATATATAGATGTTTGCCACAAGGGTTCTGATGGGACCCTAGACAATGCTGCTATCTTCAGAGCTTTTGTGCTCTCAAAGAAAAATTACTGCGCCTTATGTCCTTTATATATACATCACGGTCCTTGAAAAAGATTCATTCGAAACGGGTAAATTACTAGAGTCCCGTGGGGCTCGTGATAGGGGTACTGACAAGGCACTGTCTGAATGTAAACCTGCGCTCGATGTATGGTTTGGGTGAAACATGTTTTTCTTCAGGTATTGTTTGGGTGAAATACATTTTGGATAATATTTGATGCCAATATTTAGACAACAGTATTGAAAAATATAAAAAGAAAAAGAATAAAGCGTATAACCTCCATGAGAAGGGAGCCCTCACTGGAGAAGACCCTGATGCTGGGAAAGATTGAAGGTCAAAGAAGACGGGGACGGCAAAGGATGAGATGGTTAGACAGTGCCATCGATGCAACGAACGTGAAGTTGAGCAAACTTCAGAGGACGGCGGAAGACCGGAAGGACTGGCGTGATCTGGTCCTTAGGGTCGTGAAGAGTCGGACTCGACTGTGCGACTGAACAACAACAACAGCAATGGCTGAAGATTTCCTGGGATTATAACCAAGGCTCCCTCGGAGCTGTGGAGTCTCGTGAGCAAAAAATTCTACTTGGCAAGCTACCGGCATTCAAGTTGTGAGCGAGCGATTTGGCTGTTGCGTAAATCAATTTGCTCCAGAGCCCTCCTTCCCGAGCGAGGAAAAAAATGGTGAGCCGGAGGCTTAAAAACCACCAGCTAGCTCACACTAACTCAGCTTAGAGGGAACGCTGATTATAACTGACCCCCAGGCGACAGAGATCAGTTCAACTGGAGAACTTGGCTGCTTTGGAAGGTGGGCTCGGTGGCATTACACCTCACTGAAGCCCCTCCCTTCCCCAAACCCCACCCTCCTCTAGCTCCACCCCCCAAAGCTCCAGGGGGTTCCCAATTTATGGCAACCCATAAATCCAGGCAATCTCCAGGCCCCACCTGGAGATTGGCAACCCTATCGATAGGGGGACTGGCATGATTGACAAGCACCCCACACACACACTACAAGCACTCGAGCACTGGATCTGTTCCCTCCCCAATTTCCCAGCAGCTATGCAAGGGTTTTTGTACTCTGGCCAGGTGTGTGAATGAATGTAGATGGAATTGTAGACCTTGGCTTACGGCCATGCTCGATACAGTTCAGTCCAAAGGTATTTCAACCGCTTCGAGACAAAGCCCGACAGCCTTTCTTTAGACGACCCAGCCCAGACCATGATAATCCAATTCAGCACGCTGCTTGCCCAAAGATTCCTTTGTTCCCCTGAGCAAACAAGCCGATACGTGTGAACTGCCAAATCTGGCCATGTCAGACAAAGACAGTCGCGCCCACTGTATCGTGGAGCAATTCGGATAGGCCAGGTTTTATTGCTGTTGTTGTTGTCAGGGGTCATTTTGTAGGAAAAGAGGTGCAGGGCCTCATTAGCATAACTCATTAGCATAACTCATTTGCATATGCCACACCCCCTGACATCACCGGAAGTGTGTCAGAAGGCAACACCCACCGCTCAGGCTCCACTGGACTCTTTTGGATGGGTAGCTATTGGGGGGGGGGGACATACAGATCTGCTCTCACAGAGGAGGGAGAGCTTGTACCTGAATAAAAGCTTGGTCTTAAAGGGGCCACTGGACTGTTTTGGACCGGGGGGGTGGGGGGAGCTCTGCAACTTACCTGGCTGCTTCTTGCTCTGACTGAGGGCTGCCGGGAGCAGGGGGTGGGGCTTGTTGCATGTGCCCACCCCCTGGGCTCTTTACTGCCGGAGCTCCGCTCCTGTGCGCTCCTGCAGGAAATGACCCCTGGTTGTTTAAACTTCGCTCTGACAAAAGGCATTGACTTTGCCTCTTCTTTGGATATTCTCTGCAGCAGTTGTTGTTTTTTTTAAATTATTGACTTGGAAACTATGCAGATTTGCTTCACATTCGGAGCTTAGGGAAGCCATATTTTGTAACCCGTGATCAATACATGCAGATTCATTAAAATATGCATGTTCAACAGTCAGCTTCACTTTTGGCATCCCCTGGAGGTCCATCAACAGGGCAGAGAGGCTGAGGCCTTCCCCTGAGAAGAACATCAGAAGAGCCCTGCTGGGTCAGACCAGTGGTCCATCTACTCCAGCATCCTGTATCACAGAGTGGCCAGCCAGTTCCTCTGGAGGGCCAACAACAGGGCAGAGAGGCCGAGACCTTCCCCTGAGAAGGACATCAGAAGAGCCCTGCTGGATCAGACCAGGGAGGGTCCATCTAGTCCAGCCTCCTGTCTCACACAGGGGCCAACCAGTTCCTCTGGAGGGCCAACAACAGGGCAGAGAGGCCAAGGCCTTCCCCTGATGTTGCCTCCTGGCTCTGGGATTCAGAGGATTAGTGCCCCTGAATGTGGAGGTTCCCCTCAGTCACCATGCCTAGTAGCCATTAACAGACTTCTCTGCCATGAACCTACCGAATCCCCCTTTAAGGTTTTTTCTCTCCCTGTGGCCATCACTACATCCTTTGAACTGCAGGAGAATGATTGTAAGACAGAAGGCGACAGAACAGTGAGATTGTAGGTTAGGATCTTGAGCGCAAGCTCTCGCACTTACGGACTCAACTGCAAGAGAAACACAGACAATGCATGTCTGCGTCGGGCCAGGATATTTTTCAGAAGACGCTGTAAGGCATGGAACATTTTTAAAAGCCTGGTTAGGGAAAAAAGAAATGGGGACTTGTTAAGGCCAAACTGCCATTTGGTCTGGATCCAACCAAGCTATAAAGGAAATGTTTCATGGTAACCACAAAGTTCAGGCAAATTTGATCTCCATTAACGGCATCTGTAAATGCTTCACGGGGCTGGGATACAGGCCATCTTCTTCCCTTGGAAAACAATTTGTTCAAAAAGAAGAGGAGGAGAAGATTGGATTTATACCCCGCCCTTCACTAGGAGTCTCAGAGTGACTTACAATCTCCTTTCCCTTCCCCTCCCCACAACAGACACCCTGTGAGGTAGGTGGGGCTGAGAGAGCTCTTTCAAGGTCTGCTCTTGAGAGAACAACTCCGAGAGTATTTGTGACTGACCCAAGGTCACCCAGCTGGCTGCATGTGAAGGACTGTGGAATCGAACCCGGCTCTCCCAGATTAGAGTTCCCGTGCTCCTAACCA